CCACAAGGACGCAATCATCAATTTTTTTTGGGCGTACAGTGTACTCAAAAAAATTAATTTTCGAATATAAGCGAATAACATTATATATTTTATAGATCGGCCTAGTGTTGGTTAGTGAGATATTTTGGTCCTGATTGCAGTTATTTATTTTAACAGCATGTTAAATGAGGAATTTAGAGAGGTGCTCTTCTATCACAAGAAGTTAGTCAAGTAAGTTTATCAACTTTTATATATAAAAAATACTGAGATCATACGATGGACTCGAACCCGCGTCCGTGGACTCCCTAGACACAAGTATCACTGTGCAGGTGTATCTCTATATTTCCTTAATCACATTCTGTTGATTTAATTGTAATATCCAAGCACCTCGACCCCAAACCAGCGATCGTTAGTGTATACACAATATTGAGCACAACAGTGCACTGTGTGTCTACCACAACACTTAACACAACAGTACACTGTGTGTATCTACCACAACACTTAACACAACAGTACACTGTGTGTATCTACCACAACACTTAACACAACAGTACACTGTGTGTGTCTACCACAACACTTAACACAACAGTACACTGTGTGTATCTACCACAACACTTAACACAACAGTACACTGTGTGTGTCTACCACAACACTTAACACAACAGTACACTGTGTGTCTACCACAACACTTAACACAACAGTACACTGTGTGTGTATCTACCACAACACTTAACACAACAGTACACTGTGTGTCTACCACAACACTTAACACAACAGTACACTGTGTGTGTATCTACCACAACACTTAACACAACAGTACACTGTGTGTGTCTACCACAACACTTAACAGTACTCCTTATGTGTCCACTATAGAGACTTACACGAGTAGTAGTGAAGGTTAAACTACTAGCAAAGTTAAAACCACAAGTGAAGGTTAAACTACTCGTGCATTACAAGTTACCAGATAAGGACAAACCAAACTACCAGTGTAGGACAAACTACCAGTGTAGGACAAACTACCAGTGTAGGACAAACTACCAGTGTAGGACAAACTAAGGAGGAGGAGGAACTACTGCTTACCACCAGCCTTGGAGGAGACAGTTGTCATGCCACCATTAACGACGGCTGCTGCTCCTGGGGAAGAAGAGAAGACTTTAGTGACTCTAACACTTGTTAGTGAAGCTTTATTAGATGTGGGTACCCGGCGGTGCCCGGGTCAACCCGCGTACCACACATCAATGGAGCCATATGCGTGTGCGTTTCTTGGTGTGTCTGTCTCTCTCTCTCTCTCCCTCCCCTTGTATCTCTTTCTTTCCTCACTTTGGGACAGTATCACGTGTTGATGTTAGTTTCATGGCCCTCCATACCCGCCCATGACGTCTACTCACCAAACAGTATTTACTAGGAAAACCTTAGTGAAGCTCGCCCCAAGAGTCTGGCCTCCAACACACATTTCCATTTACAGATACAAATAATACTGTAAGTTTGTGTCTATGGTCTTATTCGTATAATGTTCATCTGTTTGGTATTTTAGGAAAATGTTCCATAATGCTTAAGCTGCTATAAATTAGAGACATTTTAATAATGATAAAACTTGAGAAATTGGTGAATAAATCCATCAACTTGTGAGCCTTTCCAGTGTTCTTTGACTTAGAAGAAATTATTTCACAAAGTATTATCCATATCTAAAAGAAAAAAATGAATCAGTTAACTTTTTATATCTCTTTAAAATTTCATTTAATTATTTAAATTATTTTCATGGATTTAAATAGTTTTAAACATTGAATGATCAACATTTTCAGGTCAAAGACATAGAATGTCCGTTACGTTTCTAAATCTATGGAGGTTGACGTTGTAACTCTGAAAATGTATTGTATTTTCAACCAGTTCCATATAAATGTTTGCCATAATTCATGAAAGAAGATTCCACATTATTATTACATAATGTAAAGTAAAAACTAAAACCAGAAAAAATAAATATAAGATAAATAAGATTAATCAAAACTGATTCATTAACAGGAATATTTTACGTTTGAACTTCAACATTCAGGAACTGAAGAACGTCGAGCAGACGATCTGTAGTGAAGAGTGACTCCAGAGTACTGTCAGGGCGCTGATTGTCGGAACTGTCGGGCCTCGTAGCCTGGTGGATAGCGCGCAGGACTCGTGATTCTGTGGCGCGGGTTCGATTCCCGCACGAGGCTGAAACAAATGGGCAAAGTTTCTTTCACCCTGAATGCCCCTGTTACCTAGTAGTAAATAGGTACCTGGGTGTTAGTCAGCTGTCACGGGCTGCTTCCTGGGGGTGGAGGCCTGGTAGAGGACCGGGCCGCGGGGACACTAAAGCCCCGAAATCATCTCAAGCTAACTGTCACCCCCCCCCCCCCTGCAGCGGTGCTTAAGAACAACCGTCGGCAGGCGGCCCCAAAACCGGGGCAGCATGACCACGCAGAACGGCAGCCTCAACGACGCGGGGCAGAAAATCACCACCCACCAAGGAGACCTGATCCGGAGCAGGAGTAGACACAGCAGGTGGATGAGTAGATACCAGCACATGTGAAGGATCCAACGAGGGCGTCGGATCCGGCAGAAGAGAAGAGGCACGTGTGAACGAGGAAACCATCAGAGGCGAAGAAGCAGAGGGCGGGGGCGGAGCCATACACACCACCACCCCGATAGCCCCGGGAAGCACACGTCCTTCAGCAGGAGATGCAGACACCACCCCGACAGCACCATCCAATGCCACCACGGAAGCAACCGGAGCCGGATGCACCTCTGCATCCACCGAACGTCGAAGGCGCGAATCAGGGGCCCCTAGGTCCGCAGAGCTTCCCGGTAGGGCACACAGATCAGGGCCAGATGGAGCAACAGCCGTAACCGCCGCAGGAATTACACAGGCACCTCCACAGAGCGAGGATCCACCGGGGAATCCCACACACAGACAAGCGGGGAAATCATCCTCCAGGAACACTGAAGGAGCCTCAGCACGAGGAGCGTCGCATCCGGCCGCCATGTGGCCCGTAGCACCACACCGGAAACAAGTGCGTGTTTCACCCTGATAAAAGATCCGCAGAGAGAGCCCACGAAACGAAACCCTGGAAGGAATAGGGCTCGTGACCCGCATGACGAGCGTACGAGCACCCAGACGGACCCCCTTCACCCGGCCTGCACTCAAAGTGGTGAACCGGGGCTTCACCACCGCACCAAACCGCGTAAACAACGACATGAGCTCCTCCTCGGGGAAGGTCACCGGCACACCGTGAACACTCACAAAAGTCAAGGGCCCCCAGGGATCCGAGATCTCTACAGTCACAGCCGAAGCAGGAAGAGGAAGTGAGCGGCCATCCCAGCATGCCACAAACTCCTGATAAACAAGTGACGTGGCAAGCGACACCGCCACACGGGTAGGCGAGATCTCCAGTCACAGGAAGTCGGTGACGTCGACACGGAGCACGTCCAGGAGAGCAATCTCCACAATGGGCCAGTCCACTGCAGCAGAAAAATCCAGCCGTACAGTATCCACCCGTCGAACACGGCCGCCACCGGCCACCTCCATACCACCAGCCGGAGCCCAGGCTAACGGGCGCTCCACACCTCCAACAGCGACCCTAAGTTGTGTCTAAGACGTCTTCACCCTCTGGTGACGGAGCAGCGAATCCCATTACGCGATAATTGGTTCCACAAATCAATAACTCTGTTATCGAACCAGTATTTACCCAGGTCTTTCCTAAATCTAAACTTATCCAATTTATTCCCATTGTTTCATGTTCTATTTCCTATTGATACTTTCAATAACTTATTAGAAACTGGCGACCAAGAATACCAATACTGCGTGAAGCAAGTTACCTGACACAAGACATGGAGTCATTGACACCACCACTCACAGCTCACTACTAACCACCAATTAACTATTGACCTCTTAAGCAACCTATCCTCAAGTGGCGCTGTTCCCAGTTTCGTCCGTTCACAAGGACGCAATCATCAATTTTTTTTGTGCGTACAGTGTACTCAAAAAATTTAATTTTCGAATATAAGCGAATAACATTATATATTTTATAGATCGACCTAGTGTTGGTTAGTGAGGTATTATGGTCCTGATTGAGTTATTTATTTTAACAGCATGTTAAATGAGGAAGTTAGAGAGGTGCTCTTCTAACATAAGAAGTTAGTCAAGTAAGTTTATCAACTTTTATATATAAAAAAATACTGAGATCATACGATGGACTCGAACCCGCGTCCGTGGACTCCCTAGACACAAGCATCACTGTGCGGGTGTATCTCTATATTTCCTTAATCACGTTCTGTTGATTTAATTGTAATATCCAAGCACCTCGACCCCAAACCAGCGATCGTTAGTGTATACACAATATTGAGCACAACAGTGCACTGTGTGTCTACCACAACACTTAACACAACAGTACACTGTGTGTGTCTACCACAACACTTAACACAACAGTACACTGTGTGTCTACCACAACACTTAACACAACAGTACACTGTGTGTGTCTACCACAACACTTAACACAACAGTACACTGTGTGTATCTACCACAACACTTAACACAACAGTACACTGTGTGTGTCTACCACAACACTTAACACAACAGTACACTGTGTGTCTACCACAACACTTAACACAACAGTACACTGTGTGTGTATCTACCACAACACTTAACACAACAGTACACTGTGTGTCTACCACAACACTTAACACAACAGTACACTGTGTGTGTATCTACCACAACACTTAACACAACAGTACACTGTGTGTGTCTACCACAACACTTAACAGTACTCCTTATGTGTCCACTATAGAGACTTACACGAGTAGTAGTGAAGGTTAAACTACTAGCAAAGTTAAAACCACAAGTGAAGGTTAAACTACTCGTGCATTACAAGTTACCAGATAAGGACAAACCAAACTACCAGTGTAGGACAAACTACCAGTGTGGGACAAACTACCAGTGTAGGACAAACTACCAGTGTAGGACAAACTAAGGAGGAGGAGGAACTACTGCTTACCACCAGCCTTGGAGGAGACAGTTGTCATGCCACCATTAACGACGGCTGCTGCTCCTGGGGAAGAAGAGAAGACTTTAGTGACTCTAACACTTGTTAGTGAAGCTTTATTAGATGTGGGTACCCGGCGGTGCCCGGGTCAACCCGCGTACCACACATCAATGGAGCCATATGCGTGTGCGTTTCTTGGTGTGTCTGTCTCTCTCTCTCTCCCTCCCCTTGTATCTCTTTCTTTCCTCACTTTGGGACAGTATCACGTGTTGATGTTAGTTTCATGGCCCTCCATACCCGCCCATGACGTCTACTCACCAAACAGTATTTACTAGGAAAACCTTAGTGAAGCTCGCCCAAAGAGTCTGGCCTCCAACACACATTTCCATTTACAGATACAAATAATACTGTAAGTTTGTGTCTATGGTCTTATTCGTATAATGTTCATCTGTTTGGTATTTTAGGAAAATGTTCCATAATGCTTAAGCTGCTATAAATCAGAGACATTTTAATAATGATAAAACTTGAGAAATTTGTGAATAAATCCATCAACTTGTGAGCCTTTCCAGTGTTCTTTGACTTAGAAGAAATTATTTCACAAAGTATTATCCATATCTAAAAGAAAAAAAGAATCAGTTAACTTTTTATATCTCTTTAAAATTTCATTTAATTATTTAAATTATTTTCATGGATTTAAATAGTTTTAAACATTGAATGATCAACATTTTCAGGTCAAAGACATAGAATGTCCGTTACGTTTCTAAATCTATGGAGGTTTACATTGTAACTCTGAAAATTTATGGTATTTTCAACCAGTTCCATATAAATGTTTGCCAAAATTCATGAAAGAAGATTCCACATTATTATTACAGAATGTAAAGTAAAAACTAAAACCAGAAAAAATAAATATAAAATAAATGAGATTAATCAAAGTTGCTTCATTAACAGGAATATTTTACGTTTGAACTTCAACATTCAGGAACTGAAGAACGTCGAGCAGACGATCTGTAGTGAAGAGTGACTCCAGAGTACTGTCTGGCCAGTCTGTCTTCAGTATAGCAACAGGTATTGTCCCACAAGACAAAACTCGCCGGCAACAGTTGTGGTCATGGAGTATACTCACCCAGGAGGAGCAGCAGCAGGAGATAAGAGTGGTCCATGGTGACTGGTTGTGTTGAGGGCGGGCGACAGTCACACGGTTTTTATACCCAACTATCACCCCTTCACACCCCCCAGGGCCACGCCTCAACCCTTCCTGCTCCCCAGCTCTTGTGTTCACCCCTCCCCCCCCCCCCCCCACCACCAGCACAGTAAACGAACAGTTGCAGAAAGAAAATAATAGCAAATATAGATAATAACAAAATGAGAGAAAAGAGGAATAATGTGAATATTATGACCAATATAGTACAACCCATCCTCCTGTTTACACAGTACCTACTGTGATGGTCGTCAGTAGTCACGTGATCATATCGCTTCTTTTCCCTCTATCTTCTACTTTTGGCACATTTAACGCCTCTAACCTCTCCTCGTAACTCTTGTCCTTTAGTTCTGGGAGCCACTTAGTGACATGTCTTTGCACCTTTTCCAGTTTGTTGATGTGCTTCTTAAGATATGGGCACCACACAACCGCTGCATATTCTAGCTTTGGCCTAGCAAAAGTCGTGAACAATTTCTTTAATATTTCGCCATCCATGTATTTAAAAGCAATTCTGAAGTTAGAAAGCGTAGCATAGGCTCCTCGCACAACGTTCTTTATGTGGTCCTCAGGTGATAGTTTTCTATCTAGAACCACCCCTAGATCTCCTTCTTTGTCAAAAGTCTTTACAGATTTTCCACATAATTTATAGGTTGTGTGGGGGTCTATGTTCTCCTATTCCACATTCCATAACATGGCATTTATGCATTAAATTCGATTTGCCATGTGGTGCTCCATATACTTATTTTGTCCAGGTCTTCTTGAAGGGCATTACAATCATCTAAGTTTCTTATCCTTCCTATTATCTTAGCATCATCAGCAAACATGTTCATATAATTCTTTATTCCATCTGGCAGATCATTTATGTAGACAATGAACATCACTGGTGCAAGAACTGAACCCTGTGGTACTCCACTTGTGATATTTCTCCAGTCCGATATATTGTCTCTGATTACTGCCCTCATTTTTCTATCAGTTAGAAAATTTTTCAACTATATTAGCACCTTACCTGTCACCCCTCCAATATTTTACAGTTTATAGAATAACCTCTTGTGGAACTCTGTCGAAAACCTTTTTTAGATCCAGATAGATGCATTCCACCCACCATCTCTTTCCTGTAATATCTCTGTTGCTCGATCATAGACACTGAGTAAATTCGTTATACAGGATCTTCCAGATCGAAAACCATACTGTCTGTCTGATATTATATAGTTTCTCTCAAAGTGTTTAAACCATTTAGTTTTGATTTTTTTCCAATATTTTGACTATTACACATGTCAACTATACAGGGGTCAGATTTACAAAGCAGTTATGCAAGCACATACGAACCTGTACATCTTTTCTCAACCTTTGGCGACTTTGCTTACAGTAATTAAACAGTTGCCGAGCTCTGAAGCACCAGGAGGCTGTTTATAACAATAACAACAATTGATTGGGAAAGTTTCATGCTTGTCAGCTGTTAAATAAATGTAAACAAAGCCGTCAAAGATTGAGGAAAGATGTACACGTTCGTAAGTACTTGCGTAACTGCTTCGTGAATCTGGCTCCAGATCTATAATTGAGGGGGTCATCTTTGAGGTAGCCTTTTTCTACACATCTGCTATGACTCCTGTACACAGGGGCATCTGAAAAATCAACTGAAGTGGAATAGTGAGCTCAGATGCACATTCTCGCAGAACCCATGGTGATACTCCATTTGGGCCAACTACCTTGTTCTTACTTATCTCCAAGAGCATTTGTTTCACTTCGTCTCTAGACACCTCTATCCGCTCTATGTTGTTCTCTGGAATTCTTATTGTGTCGGGTTCTCTGAAGATTTCATTTTGCACAAACACACTTTGGAACTTTTCGTTTAATGTTTCACACATTTCATTTTCATTTTCCGAGAATCTGTTTCCCATTTTCAACCTTTGAATATTATCCTTTATCTGCAGCTTGCTTTTAATGAATTTATAGAAAAGGCCTGGATCTGATTTACATTTGTCTGCTATATCATTCTCAAAGTTTCTCTCTGCCTCTCTCCTCACTGTCGTGTAGTTGTTTCTCTCATCTTTCTATCGCTGGTATGTTTTGGGATTTGGCCTCTTCCTATAATGATTCCCCGTTTGTGTCTTTTGAACTCTGGCCCTCTCGCATTTTCGGTTGAAACAACCCCATTTCCTTGGTCTACATCTCTGTTTTGGTATGAATGTCATCCCTCGCCTAACATAGAGTTAGGCAAGGATCTGCAACTGGAAACTTTATTGACAAGTCACATAGAGGAAGTTAATAAAGAACTAGAAAAGTATAAAGAAGAAATAAGAGACACGCACAAGTTGTAAAAGAGAAAGGGACGATTAAGGAAGTGTATTTGGAAGTCAAAACCAGAAATGACGAACAAGAAGCAGAAATTAGGCAAGCAATTAAGAAAGAACTGATAACCAACAGTAAATTAGTACAAAACACCGCAGATAGAAGTAAGTCCATAATAATCTTTGGATGTTTAGAGAAGGAAATTTCATCTAGGGTGGACAGAACATCAGAAGAGATGAAAATCATAGAAAAAAATAGTAAGATTAGGAGAAGGCCTAAATTCCATGGAACATGTCAGTGATTTTAGGATAGAAAAATATGAGAAAGACAAGATCGGCCCTTTAAGGGTGACGTTTAACGGAGTGAAACATATGTTGGAAGTGCTTAGAAATACCAGAAAATTGCAATATGATGAGGATGGCAAACTTTGATCAATAAGACAAGACCTCTCAAAGGAGGTCAGAGAAAAGCTGAAAATGAACCTCATTGAAGCGAAACGTCTAAATGGGGATAGAAATGAAGATGAAGCCCTCATATGGATCCCGCAGCCTGGATTTGTTCATTTGATGTATCATGCTATTGTGATTTCTGTGAGTTTTGAAGTAAGGACGAAGAGGAAGAACAGCTTGTTGACAGAGCTCGGGTGCATGGGGAAATTGTGTAAAACCCTGGTTTGTGTCTCAGAGAGGCTGCAGGACCCATGTAACGGCAGTAGCACTCCTGGTTGCAATTATTTTTACCATGTCGTGGCACAATCGGCTAAGGTGCGTCTGGGATCCTCTCGGACGTAGGTTCGAAACCTCATCACGGCCCTTGTGGATTTGTTCATTTGATGTATCACGCTGTTGTGATTTCTGTGTGTAACAGAGACGAAACTTGAAGAAAATATTTAAATGAGTTCGTATTCCCAAGGGACTACTTAGTTTGGAGATGTGACAGGACAACTAGGAAGGGGGGAGGGAGAGTGGCTGTGCTGGTGAAAGAACACCTTAAGGTAAGAGAGTTAATAATTGAAAATCCTCGAGATGTTGACATAATGGCATTACAAATCTGGAATCAGGATGATACAGGTAGATTTGTAAAACTCATTTTAGAGACATTCATGTATCAACACGTCAAGCAGGCCACAAGAATGAGGGAAGCGGATGTTCCGTCAGTACTGGATCCAATATTCATCAGGAAAGAAGAGGAGGTGTTAACATCCAGTACCTTCCTCCCTTTGGAAAGAGTGATCATGTCCTGTTGGATATTAAATATGCTTTGCGATATAATCTAGTAGAGAATGGGGACATTAAAACAGTTGGTAAACGCGATTTCAAGAGAGGACACTATGGGGAAGGGAAGGGGGAAGGGAAGAGAACTATCAGGGGGGAAAGCGCCAAGCCATCACGACTATACAGCACTTGGAAGGGGGTTAGGATACGGATTTGGGATGGGACGGAGGGGAGTCACCCCTCACAGTGACTCACTGTCTTCTGTTACTTAGGTACTCCCTTATCCAATGGAGTACCTTTCCTTTCATTCCTGCCTGCACCTCCAGCTTTCGCACTAGTCTCTGGTGTGGCACTGTGTCAAACGTTTTCAGGCAATCCAAAAAGATGCAGTCTGCCCACCCCTCTCGTTCTTGTCTAATTCTTGTTGCCTGATAGTATAATTCAATTAATCCTGTGAGGCATGACTTGCCATTTCTTAACCATGTTCGTGTAGTGTCACAAAGTTCTTTCGCTCCAGATGTTCCACTAGCTTTTTTCGTACAATTTTCTCCATTAGCTTGCATGGTATGCAAGTTAGAGACACTGGCCTGTAGTTCAGTGCCTCCTGTCTATCCCCCTTCTTGTATATCGGGACTATGTTTGCCGTCTTCCATATTTTGGGTAGTCACCTGTTACCAGTAATTTGTTATACACCATGGAGAGTGGCAGGTACAGTGCTTCTGCTCCTTTCTTTAGTATCCATGGCAATATTCCATTCGGGCCTATGGACTTTGTCACATCCAACTCTAGCAAAAGCTTCCTTACATCCCCACTGGTAATCTCAAATTCCTCTAGTGGTGCCTGGTTAACTATTCCTTCTTTTATCTCTTGAACTTCTCCTTGCTCTAATGTGAAGATTTACTGGAATTTCATAGAGTTCCTCGCACCTTTCTTTGTCCTTTGTAGTAAATCTGTCTGCCCCTATTCTCAGTTTCATTACCTATTCCTTCCCTGTTGTCTTTCTCCTGATTTCGCTGTGCAGCAATTTGGGTTGAGTCTTAGCTTTGCTTGCTATGTCGTTTTCATATTGCCCTTCTGCCTCTCTTCTCACCCTGACGAATTCATTCCTGACTCCCTGGTGTTCTTCTCTGCTCTCAAGTGTCCTGTTATTTCTATAGCTTCTCCATGTTGTTTTGCTTTGTTGCTTAGCTAGCTTACATCTCTGATTAAACCATGGGTTTCTTATCAGCATTTAATTTTTTACCTTTTGGGCCGGGATAAACTTTTCTGCTGTCTCCTTGCACTTCTATGTAATGTATTGCATCATGTCTTGGGCCGTCTTTCCCCTTAGCTCCGTTTCCCATGTTATATCCGTTAGGAATTTTCTCATCTCCTCGTAGTTTCTCTTACGGAATGCTAGCCTTTTGTTTTCAGTTCCCTTTCTTGAGTACTTTAACCCTTCTTCGACCAGATGCTCAAACGTCAGTACACTGTGATCGTTCATTCCTATTGGGGCCTCGAAGTCAATTTCCCTTCT